TGAAAACTTGCTTTTTGTGCACTTGGAGAATTAGTAAAACATTTTTTTTTTTTTTTTTTTTTTTTTTTTTTTTTTTTTTTTTTTTTTAACTAGATATACCAGATTTTTTTTTTTCCTCTATGGGGTTAATAAGCTGTGACTATAGTAGGACATTTAATTCTGATTCTAATGATTAAAATCTCATTGGGCTCAGTTGAAGAATTTTACAAAGAGAATATAAGGAAATACTGTGTAACCTATTTCTTACATAATATGTAATTGCCAGCCTTTCAACTTCTGGGACAGGTTTAATCTAAGGCATATATGAAAATAGACTTTATTGATATACCTTTAATTATTTTTTCATACTTCAGACTCACAGGTCTTTATCATAGGCTAGCCTTAATAGTGAGTTTTCTCATAATTTCTCATTATTAAGTGAGTTTAAGTGAGGTTTTTGCCAGGCTTCTTTAGCAAAGGTCCTGTTGGAAACCGCTTACAGAAAAGGGGAGGGTTGTGTTAAGTTAGGGTGACAGATGTAGGGTGACGTTCATCTGTGTGCATCTTCTCTGTCACCACAGACTTACCTTATGGAATTAGTTATATCTGTCAGTCTAGGAAAGCAAGAAAGCCATTTTGGTAAAAGTGCTCATTACTGTAGTTTTTGATTTTCTAGCTAGAGTTTTCTGTGCCGTCCCTACTACACACAGGTGCCTTCTTGATTTGCCTGGGAGGGCTTCTTCCACCCTTCTCTCTGGGATTCCTTTGGTTTGACCAAGATGTTACCACCTTTTCTTTTTCCATTTGTCACTTTTCTAAACTAGACCTAAGCATTGGCTTTGCCAGCATCTAATTTTTTTTTGACTAAAAGTCAGTTAGGAACCTTGACTTTGCAGAAGGAAAGGCTAAGATTTGAATTCTACTTAGGCTGTCTCTGACCTAGAGTAAGCTAGCTTCTGCATCTGTCCTGTCTAAAAACGAGGCTGCGATTCATTTCTCAGGGATGAAGTGAGGATAAATGAATTTGTAGAATGTCCATAGAAAGTCCTTAATAAATGATAGCTATTAACACTAAGGACAGTCTCACTAGTACCAAATACCACCTCTTACTCCAGTAATGAGACCTGAGGAAACTACTGGAGCTAGACTTTTTAGACATACATTTTTAACATACAAAATAACCATACGACTCCCTTTTAGCTAAATCCTCAAGTTGGAAATAAAATTTTGAATTGCAGTATGGGAGAACTTCTTACCTGGTTGGAGGAGTTCTGCTTAGGATAAGGTTGCTATTATCAGCCTCAATCAGATGCAGAAGAACCACCATCATTTTCTTCTTTTATGCCTTTTCTTTTAAAGGTGAAGCCACACCCAACCTCTTATCCATAACTCAATGAACCATAGTCTTTAAAAACTTAAGGGAAAGGTTAGTTTTCCTTTACATATATGTGTATTCTAAAGGGTATGTAAAGCCAATGTTAATGTTTGCATGCCCCACAGATATTAGGGAAATAGCCATGTCCAACTTCTGCAGACATTTTCCCCACACAGGTTCAGGATGCTGATCATAGCTATAGAGGAAGCATTAGGTCTAGAACTGTTTCTTTTGAGAATCATGCTGAAATGTAAGTGGAAGACAGCATTTCACTTTCTCTGGAATTGAGCTGTTTGCTTATGCTGATGAGGGAGAGATTTCATTAATAAAAGAGTATATCTTTAGTGTCATTACCACTGATTTGGGATTCCTGATTAAGATGTGCCAAAACTATTCTCAGAATTGTTTTCTGTCTGTTGCTGATGTTTATTTTAATATCTCTGCTGTTAGGAGATGGGAAAATGCACTTAACAAAATTTATTAGAGAAAGAAATCTTTTCAGCATTAGAATGTGTTAAAATAGCAAAAACTCACTACTTTAGTAAATTATACCATTTAAGTGCTCATAAAATGCAACTTACCAGGTGTAGTTAAATAATTTTTTACTGTAAAATAGGACAACTGAACGTATATTACTGTACTATATTCTGTGTTTGATGTGGCTATGCCTATGTGTACATCATACTCTACAGCAATGTAGGAGAGTTCATTAGAGGGTAAAATGTACTAGACTACCATATTAGTTTGCTAAGTTTATGTAACAACAATAGATGTGTCCTATATTATATATCTTGAGACAAGGCTACAGGGAATCCGTGTTCCCTCATAGCACAAGGCAAGGTCTGTGCTAGGCTTCATTTCTACTGTGCGGAGCTTTATTGGTAGTCTAGTTTATCTTAGATTGTAGATACATCACTTGATCATTCCTTCATGTTCACATGACGTTGACTGTGTATTTGTGCTCAGATTTCTATGTTTTACAGAGATACCTGTCCTATTGGATTGGGAATTCCTCTATTCCAGTGTGACCCTATCTGCAGTGCTCTGATCTTCATACTTTATTCTGATGTACTGGAGTTAAAATATCAACACACACATTTTTGGGAGGACACACTTATAGTAGCCATTTTTTTGCATAAAAGAATTTGTCATCATATTGTTTTTTTAATTAAAAAAATTACCTGTTTTTATTCTATGTGTATGAGTGTTTTGCCTGCATGCACGTAAGTGCGTCTGTGCATGCAATGCCTACAGAGGCCAGAAGAGGGAATTGGACCCTCTGGAACTGGAGTTACAGATGGTGGTTAGTCACCATGTGGGTGCTGGGAACTGAACCTGGGTCCTCTGCAAGAGCAGCCAGTGCTCTTAACCACTGAGCCATCTCTAGCCGTGGTCATAGTATTCTGTATACTGTATTTGACTGAACATTTAGAGGAACGATTCCATCTATTAGTAATATGTAATTTTCTTTTGCATGGAATGAGATACACTTTCTTGGTTTTTAATCAGTTTGGTAGGAATATTGCATGCTCTCATTTGTCCCCACATCCAATTCATGTGGTGAAATTTAATTGCTAATGAGATAGTTTTAGGTGATGGGGATTTAAGAAAGCAATCAAGTCCTAAGGCTCATGAATGGAATTAGTATTCTTATGAAAGAGGTGGCAGGACTACTCCATCCCCTTCTGCCATGATGAATTAGTATTCTTATGAAATGGAATTAGTATTCTTATGAAAGAGGTGGCAGGACTACTCCATCCCCTTCTGCCATGATGAGGTTGCAGCAGCAGGGTGCCGTCTATGAAATAGTACGACAAAAATCTGCTGGTGTCT